ACCTACAAGGAAGTGCCCATATGATTGTCAGCTGATTTCTCAACAGAAACTTTGCAGGCCAGAAGGGACTGGCAGGAAATATTCAAAGTGATGAGTAGCAAGGACCTACTACCAAGATTACTCTACCCAGCAAAGCTCTCATTTAGAATTGAGGGTCAGATGAAGAGCTTCACAGACAAGAATAAGCTAAAGGAGTTAATCACCACCAAACCAATAGTACATGAAATGTTGAAGGGTATTCTTTAAGAAGAGGAAAAAGAACAAGAAAAAGAAGAGGAAAAATATGAACAATAAAATGGCAACAAATACATATTTATCAACCACTGAATCTAAAAATAAAAATAAACAAGAAATCTAATGAACAAAATAAACGGGTGAATAAAATAGAATCAGAGGCAGGGACGCATGGAACAGACCGATGAATCTCAGAGCTTGGGAGTGGGGCAGGAAGAGGTTAACCAAAGACCTTTCCTAAGGACACACAGGGTGCTGAAGGCCTGAACCGGGAGGAGGGAGCTATCGGGTGGAAGGGGGACATCTGTAATACTCTCAACAATAAAGACTGAAAAAAATCATAATAAGCGTATCTTCTGTCTTTCTTAACAGCCTAAAGTCCCCTAACGTCATCTATGGACATTCCTTTATGCAGAACCCTTGTGTCCCCGAGAGCTGTCTCTAAATGAAGCAGCCTAAGTTTCTGTGTCCGCTCTGCTACTGTGACGTGTGAGCACGGACTCCCACACGTGAAGGATGTCAGACGGGCAGGCAGGCAGCCTCTCAAACTCGGAATGATGTGGCTGTAAAGGCATCTCCAAGAGCTGAATGTGATGCGAATGGGATTCGTGTCTCCATGTTCATTATCCAGGCAGGCGTCAAGATCATCTTTTATGAAGGGTAACATCAGTCTTGTCAAGAATAGACTGAATGCAACAGCATGGATGGAACTGGAGAGCATTATGCTAAGTGAAATAAGCCAGTCAGAAAAGATGACTATCACATGACCTCCCTCATTTGTGGAATATAATGAACAACATAAACTGATGAACAAAAACAGATCCAGAGACTGAGAAGCATTGATCAGACCGTCAAACCTCAGAGGGAAGGTAGGAGAGGGTGGGGGTAAGGGGACGAGATCAACCAAAGGACTTATATGCAAGCATATAGGCCTAACCAATGGGCACAGACACTGGGGGGGGGGGGGGGGGTAGGGGTAATGTGGGGATAAGGACACACATGTAATAACTTAATCAATAAAAAAATTTAAAAAGAACAGACTGGAAATGCAGGTTGTTGTGCTGACATTTTGCACAGCTGGTACATTCTCTTTTACGCCAAAATGACTTAAGTAAAATATAACTGAAAAATTCTCACAAATCACACATTAGTATTGTCCCTTTTCTTCATATTCTCCTACATATGTTAAAATAAAAACGAAAATCGTTCCCTCTACCTTCTGTTTGACATGATAAACAAATGATGAAGAACCACAGGAAACTGTTCCAAAATCTATTAAAAATCAAAAGCTTCCCAAGACTCTCGTCGTCTGAACAAAAGATTGGAAAGGTTACAAATCCAATTCCTGGCAAAAATTATTACAATGAAGACGACGTACAGACCGTTTACAATTAGGATCCAATGCTTGAAAGGAGGGTTAACCATTCAAATCTCAAGGGATGGCCCTCAACAGGTTTTCCAGGTAGGCGTGCCCTCGGCACAGGAGGTAATAATATAAAGTACTAACATCCTCTGCTTAACAAGCCCCTCTCTGCTGAAGGCAAATTTAGGAAGAACAGATGTTCAGAAACGTATTTTATGCCTAGGAAGAGATACATCTTCTTTCTAAACACGTCGAAGACAGAAAACATGGGTTTAAAAAAGCCACTGCCCTTTCAGAGGAGCCTGGCTTCGAGGGAAATAATGACAGACAGGACCTTGGAGGTCTGTTACTTCCTTCTCACTCTTCCCTGCAATGTGTGCAGCACCTTTTCTCTCATTCCTTCCATCTACAGGGTGTCATGTGACAGGAAGGCCAGAGGGTCCTGCCCCGTGAGGGGTACCCCACTTCCTGTTGGGTGTGTTGTAAACAGAGGAGCCATTCTCGGGCTCCCTGCTCTGATCACACCCTTGACCACCCTCTGCATTTAGAAGCTGTTGCCCCCTACACGAACCTTCTAGTTCTTGCCTCCCTGGGTTCCAGAGAGACACAGCTATGTATTTAAAATACAAAGTGAATAAAAATTGACCAACGTACCCAAGAGACTGAAGTATCACAGGCCAGACAGTGGCGAGTTACCAACTACCATGGTCTGAGAAGGAAAGTTCCAATGAGGGCAGGAAAGTCAGCCCGAGGAGGAGGAGTCCACCAGCCCCTGAGGAGCGAAAGGAACGCTTCAGGGACATCAAGGACCAAAGGCAAGGGAAGGTGAAAGGGCCAAGATACACTTCAGAAGCCGCACTCCTTAATTCCGTCAACCAGTACATACATTCAGGTCCTCCAGCGGCAAAGTACAAGATAATGCAGAGAGATAATAGCTCATGGCTCATCTCTGGAATAGAGAGCCATGAGCTATTAGACAATATAAATCACATCAAGTTTTTATTACTCCTCTAAGTTTTGGCCCTTACATATTTAGCTAGCTAGACCTAGTGCTAAAAAAAAAAAAAAAAAAAATCAAAACTACCAGGTGGAAAAAAAAAAGTATAAAAATGAGAGGTAAATTTAACCTCACCTGTCTGCATGTTTATTAGAAGCTGCTAAAATAATATTAAAATTGATGTAAAACAATATGTTAACCAGAAGACTCAAGTAAGGGAACCTGTGCGAACCTACATTTATGGATTAAAGAAACAGATCAATACCAGCATCATGTGACCGTATATTTTTATTCATTGATTTTTAAACGGAGAGGAAAGCATCCATGTATTGGTCCACTTATGCATTCATCGGTGATTCTTGTACGTCCCTGACCCGGATGGAACCACAGCTTTGTCGGGAGGATGCTCTCTCGCCAGCCGAGCTCCCGGCCAGGGGGCATCTGACTCCTCAGCGGGGCTGTCTGTCACAGGAGTTCTGCCCAGAGCGCAAAGCACAGACCCAACTGCTCAGTTTGCACACACACCCGCAGACGGCTGACACAGGTTCTGGGGCTGCCCGAGCCGCCCCTTCCCCCCCGCTCAGGGAGCCGAGTCTGCAGCAGCGGTTCTCAACCTGTGGGTCGCGACCCCTTTGGCAGTCCAACGACCCTTTCACAGGGGTCGCCTAAGACCATCCTGCACATCAGATATTTACATGACGATTCATAACAGAAGCAGCATGACAGTTATGAAGTAGCAACGACAATAATTTTATGGTTGGGTCACAACAGGAACTGTACTGAAAGGGCCAGAAGGTTGAGAACCACTGGACTCTGCAACGTCAGTGCAGTTCCCTAGGAGATCAGTCAGAGCCCGAGAGTCCCAGACCCCAACGCAGGCCAACGTCCAATGGAGGGGGGGGGGGGGGCGGGCAGCAAACAGGTTGACAGCGGCTCCTATGGAAAGTGCAGTGATTAACAACAATAACACAAGAATAAAAGGCTCGGGCTCGGGCTCTCACAGGTGCACCTGGCTCTGCCCCCCTGCACGCGATGTCTGCTCCCCGAATTCGATCCTGGCGCTACGGTTAGAATGTAACACCCGGCAACAAACCTACAGATAAACACGGACCACGCCGGAGACTGCGCATCTGGCCCTTTAGTGCGACCGCACTCAGGCGACAAGCACACGAGGCGACTCTGGCCGCCTTCCCGGCTGCGGGGTCAGGAAAACCCAAACCTGCCCTGGCCGGTGTGGCTCAATGGATAGAGCGGTGGCCTGCAGACTGAAGGGTCCCGGTTGGATTCCGGCCAAGGGCATGGACCTCGGTTGCGGGCACATCCCCAGTGGGGGGCGTGCAGGAGGCAGCTGATCAATGTTTCTCTCTCATCGATGTTTCTGACTCTCTATCCTTCTCCCTTCCTCTCTGTGAAAAATCAATAAAATATATTTTAAACAAAACAAAACAACAAACCCAAACCTAAGCGAGGCGCCGCGTCTTCCGGTCCCGGGTTTCCATTCGGGGACGCAGGAGGGAGAGGAGGGGGCGGTGCTCCTGTCCTCAGAACCCGGCGCCGAAGACCCGAATTAGAAACCACGCGGCCTCACGGCTCCTGCTCAGCCGCCTGAGGACCCCGTGACGCCGGCGAAACCGGGCGGACCCCGAAAGCCTCCGATCTCCTCCGGGAGCGACGGCGCCGGCGTCCCCACAAAGGGGCCGGTTCCGAGTTCCCAGTCTGGGTTCCGGGGCGCGCTCATTCAACAACAAAGCTGCCTCCAGAGCCCTGCTCTCCCTCCGCGGCACCGACAGAACCACGGCCAGAACCACAGCCACACACGGGCGGTCACGGCGCTCCAGCCCGGGCGGCGGAGGGGGGCTCGGACGGGCGCCCGGAGCGGGTCGGGCTCCGCACGTCCCCGAACCCACAAACCCCCGGGAAAGCCCGCGGGCCCTGTCGGCACCGGGAGGACGGACGCGGGAGACCCCGCCAGGCGCCAGGCCGTGGACAGGGCCGCCCCACGTCCGGGCCCGGTCCTCCCGCCCCCGGGACCCGGTCCTCCCGCCCTGGAGGCCCCGCCGCGGGGACGCACGCCCCGAGGGGAGGCACCCCGCCCAGCGCCCGGGGCTCGCGGCGGCGATGTCCGCTTACCCTCCGCCGCGCGGCAGCCGCCCCGCCTCCCTGCGGAGCCGCCCGAAGCACTGCGCCCAGCAGCAGTTCCCCATGGCGGCCGCCCGGCGCCCCCGCGCCCGCTGCAGGCCCGGCCGCAGCCGCATCCGCGCCGGGGCCACGCGGGACTCCGGGCAAAGGCGGCGCTACGCCCGCGGCCGCCCCGCCGCCGCCGCGCCAGGAAGGGGCGCCGGGCCGCGGGCTCCGGGCCGCCGAGCCGCACGCAGGGCGCCGCGCTCGCCTCGGCCCCAGTCGCGCCCCGGGCCGCTCCCGCCGCCGGAGGTGGCCCGGCCCCGCCCCCTGTCACTCCTGGACCCCGATTGGGCGGGCGGCCACGGGTGCTCTGCCTCTTCCGTCAGCTTGATGACGTCACTTCCTCCTGCTTCTGATTGGCAGCCGGCACCATGCGCCGCGCACGCTACCTGGGGGAGGGTGTTGGCTGGCCTTGACCTGGTCGGGACTCGCTTCTCCCGGAAATGACGCAACCACAGGAAAGGGCCGCGGCGGGGGGCGGGGGCGGGTCCCCGCGGTGAAGGAGAGCCTGGTCTCGGGAGCCCGTGTCCGTATGTTTGTGATCTTGCGCTGCCTTCTCCAAGCTGCTGCCATTGTGGGAACGGGCAAGGGCACAGGTGATTGCTCTGTTACTTTTTACAACTGCAGGTGACACCACAATCATTTCAAAATGAAAAGCCTAATTTTAAAAAATGAAAACAGGCGTTCTGTGTCCACCTCGTCTCCTGAATTCTGCCAAGGACGACGCCACCTGTCAGGGCAGGTTCCTTCTTAGACCAGCGGTTCTCAACCTTCCTCACGCCGCGACCCTTTAATACAGTTCCTCATGTTTGGTGACCCCCAGCCATAACATTATTTTCGTTGCTACTTCATCACTGTAATTTTGCTACTGTGATGAATCGTCATGAAAATATCTGACATGCAGGATGTATTTTCATTGTTACAAATTGAACATAATTAAAGCATAGTGATTAATCACAAAAACAATATGTAATTATATATGTGTTTTCCGATGGTCTTAGGCGACCCCTGTGAAAGGGTCGTTCCTTGAGCATCCTTATAACCATTTTTTTTGAAATATGTATCTAGTAGTTTTCTTGTTTCCATTTCATTTAGTTCTTTTTCTGGAGATTTCACTTGTTCTTTTATTTGTGACTTGTTTCTTTGTCCCTGCATTTTGGCTGCTTCCCTGTGTTTGTTTCTATGTATTAGGTCAGTGATGGCGAACCTTTTGAGCTTTTGAGCTCGGCGTGTCAGCATTTTGAAAAACCCTAACTTAACTCTGGTGCCGTGTCACATATAGAAATTTTTTGATATTTGCAACCATAGTAAAACAAAGATTTATATTTCTGATATTTATTTTATATATTTAAATGCCATTTAACAAAGAATAATCAACCAAAAAAATGAGTTCGCGTGTCATAGGTTCGCCATCACTGTCTTAGAGAATCCAGTGCACGCCAGGCTTCAGCCCACTTTCCAACCTCAGGCCAGAGGGCAAACAGCCCGTGTCCCCTGCTGCCCCTCCTCAGCAGGCAACGCCATCCCCTGGGCACAGAGGCCTTCGAAGCTCATGTTGGGATTTTACTCTCCTCCAAACGTTTCTGGGGAAAATAATGGGCTGGGCCTTTTTGGACATTCTGTTTCTGGAGCAAAATGTCCCTCTTACCCCCGTCCTTCCTGGGTGACCCGGCTTAGAACAGGCCGCCCATTCGTGGCAGTTTTCAGAGATGATTGTAAACTGGTCTGTTTCTGGGGCTGGATCTGCTGACGGCAGGAAGCACGGAGTCCCCAGCTCCGAGGCAGCCGGCGGGTCATGGAGGTGTGTCCGGGCCTCAGATACCTGGAGTTTTCCTATTTGTCCTTGGGAGAGTGATGTAAGGGTAGAATGGGGAAAGATACTCAATCTTCAATACTAGGTTTTAAAAAGAAATCTGCTGTGTTGATACGTACCGAGAGGCAAAGATTATGGTGAAACTGAAAGGAAGTACAGACAATTGGCATTCAAAGAAGAAAAAGAACAATGCCGGTGACTTGTCCGTGTCAGCGTGACATGGTCAGAGACGATGCGAGCCTCAGAGTCCTGCCCAGCATCAGAGCCTCTGAACTGAAACTCCAGCACAGAGAGCCTCTCCTGGCCCCACATAGCCAAGCCAAAGGGCTGCGCCTCGCTCAGGGAGAGGACGGGCACAGCCTGAAGCAATGGCCCTGGGCCCTGGGCCTCTCTCTCAGAGTCTTAGGCGGCTCTGCCCTGACACCACTCCCTGGCCTCTCTCTCCGAAAGTCCTAGCCAGGCACTGGCCCCAGCACCCTTGGCCCCGAGGCCTCTCTCAGAACATTCGAGAACGTGAAGAAGCTACCCTAGAGGACAAGCCCCATAGGGACCCAGGCTCCCTAGGGGACTGGAGGGGCCAGGGATCTCTAGTCTCTGGCTGAAGCGCACCTGGCAGCACTGGTGGCTTCTGCCCCCTCCTTGGGCCTCAGCTCGCCTTGAGGGGCAGATAGTGAGGGTAAAGGGCTGTCCTCACGCTGAGGATAGACTATGACTTATCCAAAAAGAGTTCCTGGGTTTCAAAAAAGTAACGCTCAATCATGGGCCACTAAGTCCCCATGCAACCATTGTGACCTGGGTGAGATGTCACTCACGGAGGACTACATGAAGTTAAAATAGTTCACACATGACGGGATCTCGGAGGATCAGAGCTGTGAGATGAGAGCCGGCCCTCCTGCCAGACAGCCAAGCCCTCTTTCAGCCTAGACCTGTGGGCGCATGGAAGGCTCCCTATGACCTGCTGACAGAGGAAGCAAAGTCGTGGCCCGGCTTACCGGTGACTTTGCATGATGTCACTATCCAACCGGAAACTGGACGGCTGCGCTCCAACGGACCATTCGGGATGTTTGTGAAGGAGAGTGGGTAACGAACCCATCACGATGGGCAGAGATTGGGCCGTTCGCCTCCTCATTCACCTTGAAGATCTCCTACCTGCAGACTTTTTCCGTGGCGGTCACCTGAGGGGAAAAAGCATGAGTGAGGATACGATGGCAAAGGAGTTCAAACACAAGGATGCTATCCTGTGGGTGTTGAGCACAAACTGGAGTGTGCTATGTTGTACTGTGAAGTTGTACAAGTTAGTATAACGTCATTAACCACATGATCCCCCAATACTTAATAATGGGATAATTTTAAAAGAATCTTTGTCAGTCTTCCTCTTGTTTTTGAAAGTACGAGACATTCCTCTGTTTTCGAAGAATGCCAGCATAGTTTTGTTTACTTGCCCCCGTTCATTAAGGATCATGGAAAGCCTCTGTTAAGACTGAGCAGTAGCAGGTGTGCTTAGGGCGTCAGCCATCAGACGGTTACTGAGGAAGACGGCTAGGAAAATAAAAGACAATCATTAAGAGAAAACAAACACCAAGTTCTATTCCAGAGTCCATTCAAGACAATCTCTAAATATTGGGCTACAGCATCACTAAACAGAGGAGTGAGGATCGCTGTGGCAATCCAATGTGTTTTCAGTTTGTAGTTTCCATGTCTCTGGTGATGACATAGATGTTCTGAAAAATTTCTGAGTGGTCCGCAACAGCAGACATGGATGTTTTCCTTGATTTATATCCAAGACACCAGATTCAGCTTGAAAATATTCAGGACATGAGAAGATTTATTTTCTCAATGGTTCCAAGCCAAAGATGTGAGAAAACTGGGAAGGTTAATGGTAGAGTTATAACCTACATGGCTATAACCTAATTGGAATAATTCAGAATTGTTCATGGACTGGGAAAACGTGCAAGAGGAAACACACAAGGACGATAATGGCAGTGAGCTCTCCTGCAGCAGCTGCCATGACCTAATTATTGTCCCCAAGCCCTGTAAGCTGGGAATTATCCTCATTTTTTCAGAGAAGACAAGACAGTAGTCTCTGAGAACAGCCCCAATTCCCACAGAGTGTTGAAGGAGTTAATAGTTTTAATGCTCTTGGAAACAGTGTCAGGAACATAGAAAGTGCTGTAGAAGTGTTTGATGAATAAGTGAAAATAAATTCTAGGTTCCAGGTGGTGACCAGGGTCAAGAGCTGCTCTGTTGCAAGAGGGCAGTGTTGACACCATCCTGCAAATTCCAGTCGATGAAGGCTCTGCTCAAGCATGAATCCGTGGGATCCCAGGCCTTACCCGGCAGAGGGAGGCTTGTCCTGTGCGCTGGCCAGTGCTGCTGGTGCTGGGGGAAGAGCTGTCACTGAGGCTGAATCAGAGCTGCAATGGAGCTTACATTCTAGTGGGGAAGATGTCATGCAAACACATCATTACAGTCTCAGTGAACAGAATCTATGAAGCCAGTCAGAATCTCCCACAGACTGTAGGACTATTGCAAATTAAAGAATATAAGTCTTCTAAAACCTAGGTCTGTTATTAAAGTAACACGAAATTCACTCCATAGGACATGGCTGTGTGTTCTGAAGATGTTTTCTCATGTGCCATGGTCACGTGTTTCAGTTTCCAACACACAACACTGAGACACACCTGCCAACTTGCAGCCTTCATTTCTTTAAAAAATATATTTTTATTGATTTCAGAGAGAAAGGGAGAGAGAGATAGAAACATCAATGATGAGAGAGAATCATTGACCAGCTGCCTCCTGCACATCACCCCACCCCCACTGGGGATCAAGCCCACAACCTGGGCATGTGCCCTGACTGGGAATCAAACTGTGACCTCCTGGTTTATAAGTCGAGGCTCAACCACTATGCAACACTGGCTGGGCACAGTCTTCATTGTTTAACAGAGGTTCTAGTGCTGTGGTCGGCAAACTGCGGCTCGAGAGCCACATGCGGCTCTTTGGCCCCTTGAGTGTGGCTCTTCCTAAGCCTTAGGAGTACCCTAATTAAGTTAATAACAGTGTGCCTACCTATATAGTTTAAGCTTAAAAAATTTGGCTCTCAAAAGAAATTTCAATTGTTGTACTGTTGATATTTGGCTCTGTTGACTAATGAGTTTGCCGACCGCTGTTCTAGTGAAAACCAACTGTCTTGTGCCCCTTTAAAGTTTGCCTCCTACAGGAAAACCTGCATCTTTTTACTTTTCTCTCTGTCTTGAACCTGAGCAATTTCTGCCTTTCTGGGACGAGCCTGTCTTGCTTTTCTCAGTTTTTCAAAATGAAAGCAGAAAGGCCCTAACAACTACTAAAACAGTATAACGAAAATCCCATTTCCCCTCCCTAGCAAGGTTGAGATTATCTGTAAATGGAAAACTTTTCATTATTTTGCTTTCATGACATCATTCCGACCAAGGATCTGTCAGTGTTGTGTATCTACAGAGCACACCAGGTGTCTATGGGCCCTCGGACTGGAGCTGGGAGGGATCGGGGTTTTGGAAAGGAACACATGTGAGAGGAGTGTGTTAACCTGTGTTTGACCTTGGACTCCACCGGCAGGGAGGCTGAATGTGAGCACAGATCTCATCCCCAGCTCTCCTTCTCAGCTCTGCAGGTTCCTGGGCTGCCCTGGAGGGGGCTGCACAGAAGACACAGTGGTGACTGCCAGGCTCACCCCAGAGTCCCAGGTGAGCGGGAGCCCCTTCCTCCCCAGCACCAGCACCTGTCTCTGCTGTTGGTCTCTCCCCACAGGTCCTTCACCCCCACCCCAGGTCCATGGGGGTTTGCGTTTTCTCATCTATCCCAAGGTTGCTTACCATTGTCTGCCTTTATTTTAGTGCCCACTTAAGGGGATTCTCCCGGTTTGCTCCTAGCTGGGGGGGCTGTCTGTGCTTCCCCAATCTTCCTAACCCCACCTGTTTGGTCCGCTGCCCCCTCAGTGGGATTTTCCTGTTGAAGAAGAGCAGCTCAGCCAGTGCGAGCTGAAGATCTTGTCGTGATTTACTTTTATTTTTTAAAGTGTCATGAGCTTAAGCCCGAAGGCACAGAGAAGGTGTGTCCTCTTGTGGAAAGTGTGGTGTTACACTCCGAACAATCTCTACGTCCACTGGGTTTTAATGTCTTACCCAGTGGTTCCTGCCCTCCTTGACCTCAGACGGAGACTTCACCGTATTTAAAGGTACGAGTACAAGTGAGCCCCACCCCACTGTGTTGGAGCCGCCCGAAGCCTTGGAAAGGCTTGGATAGGGTGTCACTGCTTTCACTGCACTTGGACTTGTTTCCCAAACCTTTTCACTTTCTAGATCAGTGATTCTCAACCTTCCTAACGCCGCGGCCCTTTAATACAGTTCCTCATATTTCGGTGACCCCCAATTTCATTGTTACAAATTGAACGTAATTAAAGCATAGTGAATAATCACAAAAACAATATGTAATTAATTATATATGTGTTTTCCGATGGTCTTAGGCGACCCCTGTGAAAGGGTCGTTCGACCCCCAAAGGGGTCTTGACCCACAGGTTGAGAACCGCTGTGCTAGATGCTTAGGATTAAGTGGAAGAACTTCTACTGTGTGTGACATTTCCTTCTTCAGTGGCTATTTTGTTGGCAAATGTGATGAGAGCGAGGATGGAGTTGGCAAAAGCGAGGATGGAGTTGCTTCTCTGAGCCCCTTCTTTCTGTGATTCGTATGGACACTCAGAAGCCCTTCCACTTGCCTTGCTTACGCTCGCCTTTTGCCCCGCCCTTTATCCAGTCCAAGGCACATGGCCCAGCCTGACGATCCCTAGATCTCAGAGCCTCTGCATGCATCCCAGCGCACTCCTCACCCCTCCCCCCCATTCTCAGTTTGTCCCTTTCTTCCGATGGACCCGCTCCCGTTCCCAGGTGTGCATCCTCCTCAGCACTCCTGTCCTCCCTCTGGACTTCCATCTGATCCCTGTACTTAACCCTCATTCATGGCGCAGAGAGACCTCTGTCGTTCTTGCCTCCCTGGGACTCAGCAGAGAGCTCTCCTCTGGGGCAGGCGTAACAGACAGTTGCCGGCCCTTGTGATTCCAGGTGGTGAAACACAGACGAAGATCTGAGACCTGCCTCTAGCTGGGGAGCATCTGGAACAGGAGCCTGGGCTGATACCGTGCCACCTGCGTGAGGCCATTGCCCAGAGAGCTACCTGTGCAGGGCCCGTGAACTGGAGGGCAGGTGACAAAGAAAGCAGAAAAGTGCCACTGGAAGGAAGTGGCACATTTGCCAAGAATGTGGAAAGAGCTTTGCTCAGAGTTCAGACCCGACTAAGCACAGGAGAATCCACACTGGGGGGGAAGCCCTATGCGTGTGAAGAATGTGGCAGCGTCTTCATCACAGCTCAGACCTTATCAAGCACCAAAGAACTCACACTGGGAGAAGCCCTGTAAGTGTGATGACTGTGGGAAGACCTCTAGCCAGAGCTGCAGCCTCCTTGAACATCACAGACTCCACACCGGCCAAAGCCCTACCGGTGCAGCGTATGCGGCAAAGCCTTTAGGCGGCATTCACATCTCCTGAGACAGCAGAGGGTCCATAGCCTTAAAAACGGTAAAAACGTTCAGGGTCCTGAGCATGGAGAGACTTGGGAGAGTCATGGGAAGATGGAGAGCCAGGAGGGGGATGCTCGGCTCCCGTGTCTGTACCTGTGATGAGTGTGAGAGAAGTTTCACCAGGAGCAGAAACCTCACTGAGCACCAGAAGAGCCACACTGGGGAGAAGCCCCATGAGCGTGAGGCATGTGGCAAAGGCTTCGCCCGACTTCATACCTTGTTCAACTTCAGAGAAGCCACGTTGTGAAAAGCATTCTGTCCTGGTGCCAAAGTCGTGCTCCTTCCTCGTTGAATAGAAGCACCCGGGAACCCTTCCTGGTCACAGAAATGGTGGGCCGCGGCTTCATTCCCCACACGCCGTCAGGTGGGGCCAGCTCTGCCACATTCTAGAAGGTGGCTGGGAAAAAGCTGTGAAAGGAGTGTCTGGATTGTTGTCTGGAAGAGGTAAGACCTGAGACGGTTTGCTCTGACCTGTTGGACTTCAGGGACTTCCGGACCGGCTCATCCCCGAGCTGCCACTTTATGTCATTGCCGGGTGATGCCTCTGACGGAGGGCCTGCTGCTCTGACTGCTCAGCCTGCCCACGTGGAAACCTTCACCAGGGGGTGGGATCAGTGGGGTCTTACGCCCCCATGGTGCCTTGCATGTCAGTGCTACATGGGAAATGACCTTCATTTGTCTGAAAACGGATGTCTAGAATTCTGAGGAATTTCTAACTAAGGTCTGTGTTTGTGTCTAGTTCTCTGAGGTTCTAGATCAGCCGCGGGCAAACTACGGCCCGCGGGCCGGATCTGGCCCGTTTGAAATGAATAAAACTAAAAAAAAAAAAAGACCGTACCCTTTTATGTAATGATGTTTACTTTGAATTTATATTAGTTCACACAAACACTCCATCCATGCTTTTGTTCCGGCCCTCCGGTCCAGTTTAAGAACCCATTGTGGCCCTCGAGTCAAAAAGTTTGCCCACCCCTGTTCTAGATCCTGTCAGTGAAGCCCATTTTTTGCTAAGCACATAGGATTGGCAAAACGGGGGTGAGGACTGTATACTGTGATACAAGGAAAACACATCTTTCGTAAAACAACACGAGGCATTCTAGTGTGAATTCCTGAAATGGCCTATTTATCTTTAAGTGAGTATGTGCCAACCATGGAATTTCATTCTTTTGTTCATGTTTCCCTGACATTAACGTGCTACTCTGTGGGGAGGCAATATTCCAGTTCAGTCAGTGTGGAAATCCGTTATCCAGGGAGCATCAAATACAGATACATTTTGTGATGCTCAGTATCTTGGTTCTCACCCTTTAGTTCTGTTTGGGCAAGTGCTCTCTAAAGCTACCCCGTCCTTCCCACAAACCCCACCCCTCCCCACAGTGTAGATGGGCATGAAGACTTATACTCCAGGTCAGTGGATTCACACCAGATATTTAAAACAAGTATCGCCATGGCTTCAAAATCCATTATTAGTGTGCAACCATCTTGGTCTTCTTATGTATTGGTTTCCAAACCAGCATGTGGTGCTGTCTCCTTCATTATTCACGATGAGAACTTGACCATTAAGGTAACTCCTCAGTCTACTTTCCTTTAAACATACTTTGTTGACCACTCCCCCACACGCCCCCCCCCCCGCCCCGCCCCATGATAGTCAGAATTGTAGTCTTTGAATTCCAGTGAACAAACTTTCGTGATCAATATGCAAAATATTTATTATGTGTATTTCTACAAATATATGTCTGGATAACTATGTCCTGCAAACTTTTTTGTTAGTTCTTACAGAAATATGCTTTTGCTGTTGCACCTCATCATCTTCCTCACTTGGTTTCTGGCACCAGCGGTCACTTCCCTATTTACAACATCACTCCGAGACTCTAGAAGTCGCACACAGCAAGGTCTTCTGGCCACCTTTCACAGTCAGTGTTTGGCCATTGCGATACATTCTTTCCTGTGCAGCCGACAGCCTTCACAGGTGTTTTTCTCTCAGTTTCCAAGGCTTTTCACGTCAAGTTTTTCAGGGACCTGGAGCACGCAAGTGTAGCACACCCTAGTTTAAATTCTTTGTCTTGGAGCAATAAACCATATGGTTATTTAAAGTGTTTGAGTGAATTCTTAAACCAACAAAAGCACATTGCGTGGTTTCTAAACTTTCTTAACGTACTTGTATTAGTCATGGTTCTGCAGAGAAACAGGACCGATAGTATGTATATGTAGAAAGAGTCATTATACGGAGTTGGCTGGCAGGAGCACGGAGGCCGAGAAGTCTCACGATCTGCAGATGGCGAGCTGGAGACCCAGGAGAGCACGTGTGCTTTGCCTTAGGTGTCATATAAAAGTATCCTCCAGATACAGTATTAGCCCTGTTATTAACAGCTCCAATTCCAAAGAAGTCACAGGGTTCTCCTCCTGTTATAGACTCCAGTGTCCTCTCTATTCTCCCTCTCTCCTGCTGGAACACGATACAAGGAGTGGACAGCCTTCTTGGGAAAATGCTGGGGATGATACAAGTTATGATAATGGTAATTTTAAAAAGAATTGCTACTAACAGAGCCTGAGTCAGTAGCAATTTTTACTTTCATTTCATGATTAACCACCTTCAAGGACTATCCCATCCAAGACTGGCACATTTTAACGCATTTTTAAATACATGGGTCTGTATTTATTCTAAAGGTTCTGTTCTATATTCTTTATTTCCTAACACCGTTCTCCAGTTCCATGACCACACCTGCTTGGTAATCACTGAATCCCTGTACCAGCATCCATGGGGAGCCAGCAGTCATGTGTTTGCACTGGCAGATACTGACTGTCCAATCAATATGCCAGCCTTTCAGTTTAGTAGAACTACACTGGTCCTTCAAAGACCACCTTGCTTCTATTTGGATATCTGTAATCTTTGTTAGTCTTCTATGGAAGAAGATGCCACATTCCTAGCCCGACAAGCATCCAGATGTTTCTAAGGCCAGCTGCTCTTGTTCCGTTTGCTCTTGATCCCTGAGACCAAGAAGGTGGTGGTGCTACCTGCAGAATGGGTGCGTTTGCTATTTACTTAGAGTGAATTCTAGGCTGCGAAGAGGAATCTGAAATCCAGGTTAACTGAATACCCCTTCACTAGAGAAGTAAAAGGGTATAAGAATATTTTCTCACAATTGCTAGGTGCTCGGTCTTATAAGCCTGCATTCTATGTTTATGTTTTAGGTTTGTAATTTGTAACAAAGATATGTATAGGAGAAAAGCCTTAACTGAATTCATGGCAAGTAAGGGAGGTCTGTTCTTCCTATTACTGTAGACTTCTGTTATTCACATTACCAATAGAAATAGAAATAGAAATACAAACATGATTGATAGTAATTGTAGCAATCATGATCACAGTGGACCTCATTTATGAACTTGCAATAAGATGGAACTAATACCTGCATTGCAGGCTTAGCTGCACGGCAGACATCTGTAATAAAGGATTGTTATAATTTGGCAGGCATGATGACATTATCCGTGAGGAACTCTGTGGACCCTCTCTGTGGAAGAAGATAATGATGGCGGCTCTAGATGAACAACTTTTCCAGGAGGGCCATAACTATCCAATGGACATGAGACAATCTCAGTGGACTCCAGCAACCTCTGGGAAAATGGCAGGTTTGCAGCCTGACCCAGCCTTCTTCAGGGCCACTTGAGAAGGACAGATGGAGGGGAGAGACAACCAACAAGCTCCCTGACTTTATCTCAAAAGAGGACCCTACACAGGGAACCCAGATTCTGAGTTCAGAGTAAAATAGAAGAAAGTTTTAGTGCTGTCGCCGTCACCCTGAGACCCACTGGTGAGGAAGGGGGAGATCTTTGGCATAGGGAGGAGTAAAGAGTTTCAGATCCAACCTACTTAAGGAGAAGTCGGAAATTCAGGGTAGTCTGGGACCGCTAAAAGACATTGATCAGCAGTTAGAAATCATCCCAAAACAAAACAAAAAATCAAGCTGAGATGGCTTTCCGGGTGACAGCTGCTAAACATTCAAGAAAAGCTTTCAAAGAGTGGGAAGAGGGAATCTCTCCAACTGATCATGTGAGGCTAGCAAAACCTTGACACCCAAATTAGTTCACTATTAGCCTGGATAGCACCTGGAGAGGGCAAGGACACCCTGGAGTGTAAAAAGAAAACATGTAGGCCCATCTTACTCATTAATATATAATGCAAAAATGCGAGGCACAGTATCCAGCCATTGCTAGATAGAAATAACAATATATCAAGACCTGTTGGATTGATACTAGGAATGCAAGATGAATTTCACGGGAAAGTGAATTGCATAATTTACTTTATTAACAGAATAGAAACAAAAATCCATTATATAAATAAAAGCCACTTGGCAAAATTGACAGCCCTTCTAATGAAACCCCCAGCAAAGTTGGAAACTTCCACAGTCTTATAAAGGCATCTATGCAAAACCTACACTAAGTAGCATACTCCACATTGAATGTCGCAAGCATCCTCTTTCAGGCCAGAAGCAAGATGAAGATGCTCACTGTCACTGCTTTCATGCACCACTGTACTGGAGGTCTTAGCTAGTGCAGTGGACAAGAAAAATAAACACAGGGCATATGGTTGGAATCAAAGAAAAAAACTTATTTGTGGCAATGATATGATTATCTACAAAGACACTCTGCATCTGTGAAGGGCCAGGCCATCTCCTCCCTCTCCACCTGTCCTCATTCCTAGCTGCCTGCCCAAGTCCCACCACAAACACCAGCTTGGTGGAGTGCATGGCAAGCTGGACCATTAGGTTATGTGCAGTTTCTCTTCAAATTGAATGACCAAGATTCCACCCAAAGCTGCAAGGACTATTGTGTTACTATACTTGTCCAGGATACTGTGTGTGCTCACTCTTTTGTTCTGTCTTGGCCCATTTAGGCCTCAGTGCTGGACTTTGAGCTCTGTTAGAATCAGTCTTCAGTTTAAATGTCTGTAAAATGGAAATAATGTTTCTGTCTCATTTGGAAAAGGAAAGCAGTAGGTAAGATGAGGCATATGAGAGGCTTAAAAAAGAAATTATTTCAAAGTGAGTTTAATTCCAGGTCTGGATTCTCATTTTTTAAAATTTTATAATTATTTTTAAATCTATATTTTTATTGATCTCAGAGAGGAAGGGAGAGAAACGTCAATGATAAGAGAGAATCATTGATTGGCTGCCATCTTGTGTGCATATTGGGAATAACACCTTAGTGGACCTAAGTAGAAAAGAAAACATTTTCTGCTGCCATCTCGTGGCCATCTTGGGAATAACACCTCAGTGAAGGTCACGGGGAAAAGTTTTCTCTGCTGCCATCCAGTGTGCATTTTGAAAATTACAGCTGACAAACTGTAGATGGAACCTCTATTATGAAGCTGTAAGCAAAACAACTATTGAACTATCACAGGGTTGGGAAATATGAAATTGCTGAAGGAAAATTTCTCCAGTTAGAAAGGTATACTGTATCTAGGAAAAGAAGGCAACCAGTCAATATGTTCTCACATGGATGTTTCTCTGTCTCTGCACCCCGTGCCACCCCGCCCTTGCCCCTCCCTCGCCCCCCCCCCCCCAATGTCTCTGAAAAAGCAATGGAAAAAATATCCTCAGGTGAGAAATTAAGAAAAAAATAAAAAACACCTCCTATAATGATGACCTTTGGTTCATGATTTGCCTTAACATACATGTATGGTAAATAGGAACATGGACTCCTTCCCAATCTCCAGCTCCCTCTCCCACCCCGTGGTAACATGAACAAGGCCATCAGTAAGCAGCCTTTGAGAGCTTGGGAGCCTACCCAGCTCCTCAGCCAAGAAAACAGGTAGCAGTTCTGACTCACACAGCTTGTTCAGAAACACACCCTCCCCTGCATGTCCCGCGTTGCTGTTTTCTGCCCTCTATAAAACCTTGGGCTGGGAAAGTCTGGGTGGCCCCAAAACAATAGCAGTGATGATGAGGCCTGTCCGCAGGCCAGATGGGATTTAGCAGTTCAACCTCACCGGTGGTGTGGAAGCTGGTGTGCAACTCAGTCCTGGTAAACCCATGTCTTTCACAGGCAGTCCTCCCGGTGATTTCTTTGGAATCCACGAACAATACGCCGAGTTTTCCTGGGACCTCAGGACTTCATATAACAATTCATAATCCTAAAGTATGCACTCAGCTGGTTCTTACTTGGCCAAAAATTAGCCTGTAAGGGACCTGAAACGAGATTGGCTGATTTTCATGATAAAGACATAGAATGACTATGCTAATTGAGAAAGGAGTCTCGGCCTAATCTCAGTGAAAAGAGCATTGGCCTGGGGACCAAAGGGTCCTGGGTTTGATTCCGGTCAAGGGCACATACCTAGGTTCCCCACCGGCCCTGGTTGGGGCATGTGCAAGAGGCAACCAATTGATGTGTTTCTCTCAGATCGATGTTTCTGTCTTTCCCTCTCTCTTCCATTCTCTCTAAAAGATCAATGGAAAAATATCCTCCGGTGAGGATTCACAACAAACAAACAAACAGCCAAACAAGAAGGAAGTCTCAGCGAGACTCTGTGTGAAGGATGGTATGGTAACCGGTCAATCAATGCTTCCAGGCTGCCTGTCACTACTTGAGCCAATCAAGTAGAGACAGGGTTGAATCACTTATGAGCGCTTATTCCAATACTGCTGGCGGTGTGCGAGGGCAGCTGGCCATCCATAAAAACCTGCTCTGTAGCCCCCATAAGCAAGCTGTTTATACAGAAGGACAAGGATTACATGAGGAAGTAGAGGTCACAGGCATGAGGACGTAGGCTCTGCAGGCTGGGGCGGGACTCCACTGTTTGGGCATCTGGGGGGTGGGGTAGGCTATGCCTCCCAGCCAGGTTAGAATGTGCTTTCTTTAATCAGAATAAAACAATCTTGGTGCTTTCTTTAATCAACACAAAAACAATCACAGTTAGCAGATTAATATTAATATGATTAATATTTCTTGCTTTATTTCTTATAACTAATAACTAGTCCCCAGTATTCTATTTCTGCCCCTAACAGTTGAGTATCGACCTATGAACCAGGAGCTCACAATTTTATTCCACATGAGGGCACATACCCGGATCCCCAATGTGGGGCATGCAGGAGGCAGCACATCTCTC